AGAACCAAAATTATCAACATGATACATTAGATTAGGATCGATGACCTTCGCGGCCTAGTCTTAGGCCCCTGATGGCACATTTATATTGGAAATAGAGCTCAATTTTATTGACATTTGTTGTAATTGATTAATGGGTCCTATCATTTCTTTTTTTACATTTTCCGATAGGATCGAAAGTCATGAAATAAATATTTGTAACTTAAATAGTATTTTACTTGCAGTTGAGATATATTGTACATACATGTGTCATCATCATCAGCCATACGACGTCCAGTGCTGAGAATAGGCGTTCTCCATAGATCTTCAAGACGATCGGTCCTCCGGTGTCCACGTCTAGCAACTTCCCGTAACCGTTGAAAGGTCCACCTTGAAGGGGGGCCTACGTACGCCAAAACCTACAAATACGTGTACTTATCAATAATATGAATATGTTTGTTTTCATTTTGACTCCATTTGTTATTTTAAGAAGTTGTCAATTTGAGCTGATACGAATTGTAGATAAGTAAATAAGACCTTTAGCTTTGTTTGTAAATTTTAATTATAAAATTCGATAAAGACAATATGTAACAGTGTATTGTTACTCTTATCTAACAAGTTCAAAGTATGTAGTTTAAATACCTAACAAAACTTAGAATTTTAAATTTTGAAAAAATTAAAAAAAATCTCGTTAAGTGCTCACTAAAGAGTATCTTTTCCAATTCATAAAAAATGGCTAAGTTAACTTCGAAGAGTCCACTCAACCTACTTAGTAAGTCTTAGGAGGTATCTAAATAATTAACTTCGAAAATGACGACACAGATCAAAGAGCGAGATTTACTTCGAGACTTGTAATTTTTTCGTTCACTTCTTAAGAACGAAATTCGTTTAGCATCCATTTTGTGACTCGCTCGATTGGTTAAAAAATATTAATGGGCTCGCAGAGTGGAAGAATATAAGTTATTCATTTTTTATGAAGATTTCCACTAAAACGAGATCTTTGCCCTAATGGACTTATTTTTAAATTAGATGAAGTTAACTAAATATCATATTCATAATGTTAGTTTATCATGAAAAGTCATATCTATACACACACATAAATTAAAATTGCTTCACACATAAAAATAACCGCTTTTTACTAAATACATATACAGGGTACAAATGTAAAAATTTTTACATTTTTCGTCTGTCTATCTGAAACGGCTGGACCGACTGAACGGTCCGCGACGCACTGAAGGCTACTTTCCACGCGGACGAAGTCGCGGGCAAATCTACACGGAAAAATTATTCTGGTATGTGTAACCATATTCTGGTTACCATTACAATATTTATTGCTCTATATGTGACGACCACTCGTATCGTAAGCGTTACACAATGATTCTAGTTAAACATGAATTGTATTTGTCACATTGTTATTGTTAATTTTACTATTTAATTTTTCAGGTCTACAATCCTTTTTTGTCCTAACAACAAGAAAGTTTGTGTTGTTAATCAAAAGTTTTGTAAATAACATATAAACGTTTAATTAAATTTACCAAATGTCATCGTTTTATTTACTACAAAAAAATTACTAATACGATTTGTTGTGTACCTCTGACAAATGGAATTATAAATGGAACAGAATGATACGTTCACATTACAAAATGACTTGTAATGACAACAATAGAGTATTGTGTAGGTAACTTCTTATTTTGTAAATGGACCAGGAAAAGTAGTTGGTTTATTCCACCGGAACTGTCGGTAAAGACGTGATTGCTTAAAATGTGCTTTTATTTCTCAAGATTCATTAAGTTTTCCGAGAAATAAAAGCTCTGAACTTTAAGCAATCACGTCGATACACGACAGTTCCCGCAGAAAATGCCAATAAAAGAAAAACAAACAATAATAAGAATCAACACTTTTATTAATTAAAACGTAGAATCAATTAGAAGTAGCTGATACCCTGTCGGCTTTTTTAAAACAGGGTACTCATTCATGTAGTCAGATACTGCTATATTTTTAGTCTCTTCAAGTCTAATCTTGGATGTATTTTTCCTTTTCTCTTCAACTGTTTTCCAAGGCTCGCTGGATTTTCTAAGCCACTCAAGGTCTTTATGAATATTTTCTGAAAATATAATATGATTCATGAACTTGGCACCGACAGATTAATGCCTAATGTTCCTGAAGTGGGAAGTGGTAGCAAATATCTATACATATAATAAAATCGTAGGAAAGTCAAAACTGTACATGAAGTGTCTTGTGTGACACAACGAATCGAGCCAAAAATATAGTTTTTAGAATTTTTGTCTGTCTGTTTGTATGTCCGGGCTAAACTCAAAAAGAACTGCACTGCATGGAATTACTTAAAATTTTGCATGAATATTACTATGAGGTTGGGTCAACACATAGCCTACGGAAGCCACGCGGACGAAGTTGCGGGCAAAGGCCCTATATATAATTAAAAGTATGTAAATCAAATTCTTACTAGTGATTGATTGGATTGATTGTCGTTCTCAGAATCCATCAAGGTCTTCCAATTGTTTAAATTTTTAATAAAATTTACTCTATGTCCAACTGGTGGTATGAGCTCCTTAATAATATGCGAGTCCAACAGCATTAAGCAGTCCATCGTAATGTGGTTTTCTGAAATTGAATATACATAATAATAAAAAAATATATAGATCAGTCAGCCCGGTACCTAATATCTAAAAAAGAGGTAAGGATTTACTTTTATATCCCAGTCCCACCTACATCTCACAACATAACATTTTGTATATCTACAAAGTTATGTACTCATACGCAGCTCTGGGAGAAAAAGATAAACAGCTGCCATCATTCCCGTGCAAGATCCAAAATCAGAGTATCAGACTGAAGGGAAAGGACATTTTAAAGTACTCTATTGAGGCGACGGGCTGATGAGCACTTGTCATATCACTACTCAGTAACACAATAAAAACATCTAGCCCCCTCGTCAGACGTGGCCGCTTGTGTGAATTACACCGTAGGGCTCTGCTTGCCCCGATATATGGGCGTGATTATAAGTACCTATGTATGTAATCTAAAAAGTCAGGCGTATATCATTTCTGATGAGTACATATGAAATAAATGAAACTTACCAGAGAACACATCCACATAACCGCTGAGAACCCAAGCAATAAGTAAGTTTCTGACATCTTCGTCCATTTCAATTTTAAAACAATAAAACACGATTAGGAAGCGTAATGGCGGCGATCGGCGGGCGATTATCCCATAGAATAATAGTAATCCTATCACTGTCACTTCACTGTGCGCGCGACTAAAAGAAAGAAAAATGATGCAATAAGTTCACTGCCCCTCACCCCGCGCATCTCGATCGCCGCCAAGCCGCGCGAAGTTTTGCAAATGCAACATCACTGATTGTTCTCTATACTAATTGTATTGTAATTACAAACGTATTTTCAGTACTCATCATAACTCGTGTTGTAGATTTTTAAAATACAATTTTTCTTGTAATGTTTAATATACTTTCAGAGCTGATTACAATTTCAGAAATAACAGAACTGTAATTGTATTGCTTACAAAATGTCAACTTATGTTAACAATATTTCTGTTTCCGTGTATAAAATTATAGTTATCTTTACAGTATTTCTCTTAACCTAGACGTTTTGTAGTATTGTAAACTAAAAAGTTTTTCCGTGTAGAAACTAATATGATTCATGTCACTTCCAGAGAGTAAATATTAGCGGGGAAATATGCACTTTGTTTTGTGCCTAGTAATGTATTTTTTATTATAGCTGTTATTAGTTTTACTGTGCGAAACTAACAGTGTTTTAGAAATTGAAGCAAATTGTCTTCTTTCAACATTATCTTGGAGTCGCCATTTTTAAAAAAAAATTGTGTATATTTATATTATTCCCATTCGCGTTCTGCGACTTGATCTAATTTAGAGACTACAATATAAACAATCAAGGTGTCTCATAGCTGCGTGGGCTCACCTATTTTTTTTAAAGGGTGTAAATTATTTAATATTGTGTGTATAAGACGTCTTATTAATATACACGACTCCTTATTTGTCTGAAGTCGTCCTTAAGTGTCTGAATAGAAAATAAAGTTTTTACGTGATTGTGCACCAATTCCTTCCTTCGTCATCTACTAATTTAAGTCAGAATAGCTATATTGTATTGTTAGGGGCAGCATAAGCTTGAATATAATGCTTGCTGGGTGTGGGTATTTTATTGACATCTTCGATTGCAAAATAAATTCCTTTGAACGGAAACTAATAGAATAGTTATTCTCTCGTTGATTTATAGCGCAGGTATGGATATATATTAGATGGCGTAGAACTGTAGTTCGTGTACAAAATACTTTAAATAAATAATCTTTATTTCAAGTGGTTATAACCCATATTGTGATACATTTGAATTACATAATTAAAAGTATACATATAAAATACAATACAGTTCATTTAAATTTATAATCAATTATTAATCAATTAATTAAAAATGAAATCAACTAAAAATTAAATTAAATTACTCGTCACTAATATCATCATTAAAATAGTCTCTCCCTCCGACATCGTGGGGCGTGTCTTTCACAGCAATGTCGGATGTAGGGACAGTCCAGCCTACTAGCAATCACAGCCAGGACGGCATTGGAGCTGGCCTGAAACCTGCTCACCATGGAGGCTCCTCTTTTGCGCATACTTGCGTGAAAGCAGTCGGTGTTCGCTGCAGCAAACATACCCGATGCGCTACAAAAACGAGACAGCCCCAATACCGCCCTAAATGCGTTATTAAATTGGACTCGGAGGGAATTATATACCCTCTGCGATATTCTGCCCACAAACTGCACGTATACAAAGACGTGCAGTAGGCCCGAAAAAGAGAAATGTTTACAGCGATGGAACATCGTGCAAATCGGCGGGCCAGCATATTGGCTCTCCTAGACAATGCCCTCCGTTCCCGCTCGACATCGGCATGGTCCTTGAGGTCGACGGTAACCACATGCCCCAGATAAGTGATTTGATCTACTCATTTTAAAGGGACACCATTGAGTCGAACAGGTGGTAAGGTCAACGGACACTTGGCACCGACATCCTCAAACACCATGCATAGACTTTTCTAAGCTATATCTATATACGGAAACCTATAATTGGCTTTTTGTTTATTATGCTTGTAATTTATATTCTTTTTACAGCTGTTGGTTTTCCAAGATAAATAAATAAAAAAAAACAATTCCCATTCAGCTGAATAATTAGCGGCGGAAAATTGTAATGAATCGATCACTAACTCTGCGCTGCCTTTATTGATGATTTTAGATATTGGAAATTCTGAATTTTTACTAATTTCAGTAGAATTGTGAACAAGTGATAAAAATGTGTCATGAAACTCTAACCAATATTCGTATTCATAGTCAAAAGCGGGCATCGAAATAATAGATAAATTGACCGATTTTTGTATATCCCCACAGTTAGAACATGAAACAATCGATTCGTCACCCATTATACACTCTGCTTGAGCCAATATACTCAAATGACAATCCTCTAGCGTTGCGCATTGTGATGATTGATTATCGAAGTCAGTTTCTGGCACAATTACTTCAATAGGGATGACGACTGGGTAAAAAAATGCAATTCTATTTAGGACGTCAGTCAGATACTAGAAAATTATTGGATACATATTTTTTTTTTACTTCAATTTAACAAGAAATAGAGATAACTGAGATAACAGACATTAAAGTTAAGGCGTGGGGGCTCACTACGTCAGAGTTTAGTAGAAAACGTACCATAACGTGACGTCATGCGAAATTTCAACTCCATGTAACGCCGTAATCTTATGATAATATTTTTTAACACTCTAACTAATGGACAAACAAACAAAAATTAGTCGTCATCCCTATTTGTGTTTGATAATTGTGTTCAAACTTGTAGCACCTCGAACACGAAGCTTTAAATCGATACATAATTTTTCAGACAATAATTCGTTACCAATCGTAACAATGTCTAAACAATAAGAAAATCCAATCAACCTATTTTTTTATCGTGCCTTGTTTTTTAATTAAGCTTGTTTAAGCTAAACTGATCTGACAGAATTTTGACAGTGTTTTTATCTCCTATCAATACTCATTTTGGTAACCAGTAAAAAAGAGAGGAATTCTTATATTCTGCATTGATCCGCGTATACAGCAGGTATTACAAACGACACTCTGCTGATGACTGTTTATAAAAATGACTCATTTTGCGAGATATAAGAATTGATAAGATGAACGAAATATTAACACAAGTGAATACCAAGGTTTTGCGGATATTGTGGGTGGCCGTACGTGTATTCTTTCTCAGAATCTTGACGGCAACTAGTAGAGACTTCATTCAATAACTCGTCCTGAAATCCGCTGGAATCTGATGCATGTGGCTCTGTTGGACCAAATATCGAAGCTCAGCTGACAGTGCAGCGTAGGATTCGTGGAAATAAATAAAATACTCCTTGGTTTACAATATGTTAGGTTTAATCGTGATCTTGCAAGTGGTACAAAAAACGTCTTCTCATTACAGTTTTAAAAAATGCACAAAATTTTAGCAAATGTAAAGAACTTCAGTATGCTTCGGCGATTAGCACTTCATAAATCGTATAACGCGATGCAGGACGTCGCTTATTGGTTATTGGTGTTACGTAACCCGATGTGTGAGAAGTTGACTATACGTGATAGTTGTCGTCAGCCTTGAACAACAGATGGCACTACAGGTTCTAAAACAAGGCTTATGTTAAAAACCTACGTAAAAGCCGTTAACGAATATATTAACCGCCTTTATGATCAGTTTTATTTTATCTATCACAAACAGAATTTAAAACAAATAAAAAAAAATATCAGTTCAACTAGATTTAGCGTTTGTACAATCCTCATATAATATTGCCGTGTATCCTATTCTAGAATCAAGATTTATGTTGTCTTGACTCTAGAACCCGCAAAGAACGAAAGCTGGAGAAATAAAATGGCGAACAATAATAATTTTAATCAAAAACAATGAGATTGCGCTCGACTCAAATTGGTCTTCTTTTGTCATTAACATGATGATGAAACGCAGTAATTTTTGGCCAAGTGAGGTGTTAGCTGGCTACCTATTACACAGTAATGTAATATTAGTCTTTTTTAATAATCTTGATTTTATTTATTATTAAATATGCTCTAGTTCCAGACACCCAGGGAAAATTGTTCAAATACGATTATTAAGATTATATGTTCTATATATACATAGTCGATAATGTCTTAAAATACAGAAAGTTTTTAGTTTTAGTTATTTTTAATGAATTTAACATGCGTTTGTGTTTTTGAAATGAAATATACATGTTTCCTAGAAATTTGTAAATATATTTTTTAAACGAAAACAGCACTGAAGAGATAACTTATCGTCATTGGCGTTCAGAATCTACTGAAGTATAATATATACACGTAATTAATACAGGTACATTATACGGCATGAAAGTTAGTCAATCGCAGATACAAAAACCATATATAAAAATAACAAAGTCAAAATATAAAACTGTTAATATATTGAATAAACTTCCATAAACTATTATATAAAATAAACAAAAGTTTCACATATGAGTTAAATTTCGTGCCGCGTATTGTAGGTTGATAAGTTTTTACAATAATTCTGCATAATATTATATTTTTTTACACAACCGTGGTATTGAGGAACTTACGAGCTGCGGCTTATAGTAATTCTCTTTCTTATTTGACGTGACTCAAAAATCTAAGACATATTTATCAATGTTTTTTTTTTTAATATTTAAATGCATCAATTATTTAACAATGATTATAACATTGGGGCTTAAATTTCAGTAATATCTCAAAGTAATAAAAGTACTTTTTAAAAGTACTAATGCACATGAATTTCCAAAATTGTTTTTTAAGAGTTATTTTGTAAAAAGTCTACGTGTTATTTTTTTTTGCAAAAAGTGTATATAATAATAGATATTATTTATTGCACAACAGAAAAGATACAAATACACAAAAATCTTACACGAGCATTGTACAATAGACGGCCTTATCGCTTAATAGCGATTTCTGCCAGGCAACCTAACAAAGCACGGAAATTTAACTAAGAACAATTAAAATATCAGCAGATAGTGAAAGCTAAAAACAATGTAATTACGCTGACAAATAGAACAAAAATTAGCATACACAGAAATGAGAAATCTAATAGTTATACAAAGTGTATACCTATGAAAGCATACTAGCGACAAAAAAAGTGCTGTAACGGTGTGTCATACCGCCGTTTATTTTTCCTAGGTTTCAGTTTTCAAACTTTTTGTCTTAGCTATTCAACATCATTTCTTTTTATTATGCACCTTTCGTAATTTAAAATTTTGACTAATCAAGTATACTTTTTATGGATATCAGTTCGTAAAAAAATCATCTGTTGTAAACATTGTAAATCACATATATTATAAATCGTATGAATTTAAACATAAACATTTTATTAATAATTGTTAATAATAATGAATGAGTAATAAAAATAGGAAATATATAGGTAATATAAGTGCATCCTGTGACTTGGACGATTCAAGTTTTTATCAAGAAACCCAAAGAGGGTATGTATTCGTTTTATTTGGTAATTTTAATTTTATATTTAGGTAACTTACGAACCGTTTTATATTCATTTTTTTTTTTGCTTTTTGTTACAGTTTCTTTACTTTATCCTTTATACCATAAATAAATCCATTCTCAAGCTAGTCAGCCTTTCATTAATTTGCCCAAGCATCGAACCCGTCACAGTGCGACATGTGGGGGAGGACAGAGAGAAGAAGAGAAAAAAAAGAAAAGAGAGGAAGAAAGGAAAGGAAAGACTGAATCTTCAGACAGGTATAAAGATTTTGGCAGCGATTTGAAAATGTCTAAAGAATCTGCCTGTCGTATTGACTCGGGTAAGGAGTTCCAGAGTTTGGTGGCCTGTGATGTAAATGAATTCTTGTAAAATTTTGACAAATTAGGTGGTGTATACAAAAGATAATTATTAGAAGAGCGAAGAGATAAATCATGAGAAGATGAGAGAAATTTAAATCGAGTTTTAAGATAGGAAAGAGTCATAGGGTTGAACAGTATCGAGTAGAGAAGAGAGAGCATATGCATAGAGAGAGTCTATAAGCCACTGGAGTTGCTTACGGAATTCGGAAACATGGTCATATTTACGTAAGCCAAAATATCACCATATTCAGAGATTTTGGAGACGTTCAACTTTATTTAGAAGATCAATTGTAAGGTCAGGATGACATGCATAACCAAGAATCATAGTTGCACAGTTACTGTCAAGAATACTAGAGAATGTAACCGAATGTGGAATTATCCTATCACTATGGAATACTGTAGTTCCTTCTGTTCTGATTTTTTGTGAAGATATATAAAAGATACTATCATAAAATATGTATTTTTATGAGATGTTACCTTGTACTTGTCTTAAGATCGAACCGTCTATTAAATAAGTGGTTTATTTATTAAAAATAAAGTAATGATATTTGTCCGGAAACGGATTGAACCTAAAAAGAGGTTAACAAAAACCTTGTTTCTAACGGGGTTTTTGTTAACTTTTAATAAAGAGGTCTGCAATTCTGAAATCTGGTTGTATGTTCGCTTGACTTATTTTAGTTAATATTTTTTTGATAATGATTTACGAAGAAATGTCAGCATTCTATATTAGGGGTGTGTGAGCCATGCCAAGCCATGGAAAAATAGACTTACTGGTTACTAATGTATAATGTATAATAGCACTTCAAAGAGAAGCGGCGAAGTTTAATCCTCTTATTTTAATGGCGCAGGTGATATTCCATATTTGGTTACTTTCTTTTATCTACGAGTATTAAATCTATTGAACATGATCATTTTGAATAAGACACAAACCATCTTGTAGCTATTTAACGTCTCAGTTGAATAGAGGCTGATCTTACGGGTTTTATAAAAGCCTTTATTCACAGTCGGCGTGTACGACGCTGACTGGTGTAGGGCACTTGAAATGTGTCTCGAGCTAAGGTCTCGAGTGAACTGCACTAGCTACACTGGCTTGAAATCATTGTATGACTTTGAATCCTGTTTCTCATTAAAAAAGGTGAAAAGAAAAAAAAGAGTGGTTAATAATGTGTACAGCTTAGCTTGTAGTTTTCTTGTTTTGATTTCATCTTTTTCATTTATATATCGAATATTTTATATAAGAATTTCGGAATGAAATTCGGAATAAGAATTTCGGAATGAAATCACAACAGGTTATTTTAGTTTCTTTTTTTGTGCTTATGAATATAAGAATCAGCTACATTCGTGTTTATGTTTGTTTTGTCACTTGTTTTTAGACAGGCCTTTATTATGGCGATAGCTTATCGTAGTTAGGGATGAATTAAAGTTGTTTTATTACCGCAGGTAATACTATTTTTTTTTGTCTTCTG